TTAGTTGTGTTGGAGTCTAACAAGATGGGGGTTCAGAGAGCACCGTGTGTGTGTGGGGGTCTCTCTGCTGCCCTTTCGCTACCAATGTCTAAAAGAAGCGATTGGGTCGCGTCAGCAGATTCATGGCCTCAAGTCTGGATCCTCCTTTTGGTCCCTTTGATAGTTGTCATGGACTGTACTTACCTTTTTGGTGACGTCGTTCTCCACAGAGCAAGCTTCATTAGCTCATTACTCCTGCAGACAGAACACATTCAGCTATTAGCAGCTCTTCTCATGGGATGTTTGTTCAGTGTGTTACCATGTTTGTTGCCAGGTGATCATCAAACAGGAACCTGGCGAAGCCCCCCACGTGCCCACATCAGGAGCTGCCAGCCAGTCACCGCTCCCCCAGTACGTGACTGTGAAAGGGGGTCACATGATCGCTGTGTCTCCTCAAAAGCAGGTCATTACTGCTGGAGAAGGGTCTGCCCAGTCACCGAAGATTCAGCCCTCCAAGGTTTGTTTTGGGCAAGGATGGGGAGGTCGACATATCAGTAACTCTTGTTTCACTAGGTAATTGATAAGTGCTGAGAAGACCGTGGGTGGTGGGGAGCCGATCCCCAGAAAAGCCTGTAGATGTCAGCCCGCTTGGAAAAGCCAAATGTTATACCCTCTGCTCTTGTAATAGTCATCGACCAGAGCAGGGAGTGTGCCACAGAGGGTCTGGGAAGAGTCCAGGAGGCAGAGGTGCCTGTCATCTCTTGGGCAGTGAAGGTGCTTGACTTCCACTTGATACAAATCTAAAACGGGTGACTGACGGGACTGAGGCCACTGTTTTACTTGTTTATTTCTGACCGTTTACGCCTGTGATGTCCAGGCAGTAGGATTTTTGAATGCAATTCTGGGAGTGCAATTCAACAAAAACCTGGCCTGGTCTGCACCTGCAGACAGCTGCCTATCTCGAGTCATGCTTCTTGGCTCTTGGGAGAGTTTATTTTCCTTATAATTGGGGGCAGCAGGGGAATTAATGTATTGGGAGAACTATAAAATAGCACATACATCCATGTTTTTCTGCATCAGTAAGAAATAGTATCTGTCGAGTGCTTATGTTCATGCTCTTGTTGATACGTTACCTGTATCCTCAACACAGCCCTGCAAGCTGGATATTTTAACTCCCTTTTTACAGGTGAGGACACTGGGCCTGAGAAGCTGAGCAACTTTATCTAGTGCGTACAGCTAATAAGTCACGGGATTTGAACCCAGCTCGGCTGACTCCAAAGCTCCCCATTTTAGAACTGACTCAAGTTTGTGAGCCCTTATCTCTATCCTGAGCATGGCTTCACACCATCCAGAATTAAATTGTTTCAGGTGTTTGGTAGATATTCTCTGAAACTACTTAAGAATATTATGTGGGATGTTTGTGTTTCAATTCGAGAGTCAGCCCATCTAGGGAGAGTAAGTTGTTTTGAGAAGAGTACTCTTAAGATAGGGAAAAAATTTTTTTTTTAGATATTTTGTAAGCATAGATAGCTAGGTAAGAATTGAGATAAAAATTCATAGTGTTAAAAGGTGATTCTAAAATCTGTCAGAGCCATTAACCACTTTCCCAAACTTACTTGATCCTCAGAATCATCTGATGATTAAAAAGCCTAGATGCCTAGGCCTCCGTCCCAGGCTCCCTGAATCAGATCTTCTCGTGAGGCTCTGGGAAGCTCCCCTGCTGATTCACGTGATTAGGCAAGAGGCTTTGGGGCTCCATAGGCAGGCTCACTGAGACGTGCATCCTTCACTGCGTCCTAGTGCCCCCGTCTCTCTGGCCTCGGGAGGAACAGAGCATTCTGTCAGAATCCTCCAGCGAATTGGTTACTGTCTTCTGGACTCTTCCCGCCCAGAGGTGTCCTGTCTGGTTTTCTAATCACCTGAAGATGGATGATGTTGCAGATGGAGGTTTTCTGTCAGTCTAGCATTGCTGTTCACGCACAGATGCTTTGGATAAGTTGCTCTCCACTTTTTGCCACTTTGCATTTTGCCAATCCACTCATCCGGTAATGCTGACAGACTGTACCGGCTGTCTTGTCACATTGCTGCCCGTGTAGTGGTCATACGCGGGGCTAAGAGAAAGTGGGTGGGTCTTTGCTAGAATGCCCTGAATAAAGTTCAAGGGTACCTGGAAAGCAGAGCCGTAGAAGAGTGTGAAGGAGCTGCAGAGAGGCAGTGGAGCATGAGACATCACTGTTTGTCCAGGGAATTTAGTCCATGCTTGACTGGAGATAGGCAGCTGTCTGCAGGTACAGACTAGGCCAAGTTTTGGTTGAAGTGCATTCCTAGAAACTACGCCAGAAGCCAGGAGGGCAGGAAAAAGTGGTACTGTTTGAGTCTCCGTACACCTGTGGCGCCATGGAAACAGCTTCTCTTTCCCTTGGAAGTAGGGAGAGGTGCTACCTTTGACACAGAAAAGGTGAACTGAGGAGAGTAATGGATTCATGGGGAAGGAAGCAGTGTGGTATAGTAAGAAGAGCATGAATTTGGGAGCTGGAGCTTGTTACAGAGCTCAGATCTCAGCCATTTATTACTTTTGTGACCTGGGCAGCTTGCTTAATCTCTTTGAACCTTTTTCTTTCCCCATCTAGTAAAAGGAAATAATACCTCCTGTTTTTCAGGGTTGTAGGAGAACAAAGGACCAAGCACAGAGCAGGTACCCAGTGAGTGGAAGCTAATGCTAGCGTGGCTGAGACCAGGCACTGTGTATGCATCCACGGGTACCACGGTAACAGTTATCACAGATACTCATTGAGCACATCGTGCTAAATGGCTGTAGTTTTGAGTGTCTGAATCCTCACCTTCAGGGTGTTAAAGTGAGTTCTGACTTGCAAAGGTATGTACAGGGCACAAAGATGGCAGACAGAGAGACGTGGAATCACAGCATGAATCAGAGTGAAGTATTCATAACAAATACAGAGCAGATTCACTTATTTATAACAAATACAGAAACGTGTGCATTTTAAAGCCAGAAGGAAATTAGAAATATAGAAAGAATTTTTGTGGAACGGGAAAGGATAAAACTTGGTAGGTGAGTTCAGGTTCTAGGCTGAAATGTTGCATTTTTTAAAAAGAAAAACAGATTTGGGGTTCTTACTTAAAAGCCCCTACCCCTTCCTGTGGTGTCAGTAAAGAGCTCTGCAAAGGATTTTCCCTGATAGAATGCCAGACTTCCTCATTCTCCTCCGTTTTCAGGAAAAAAGGCTTTTGGGGCAGGAGGGAGATCTTTTGAGTGGCGCGGAGGTGCTCATGAAGACTGGAAACCCTGGTGGCATAGTGCTTAAGAGCTATGGCTGGTAACCAAAAGGTTGTCAGTTTGAATCCATCAGGTGCTCCTTGGAAACCCTGTGGAGCAGTTCTACCCTGTATTATAGGGTCACTCTGAGTCAGAATCGATTCGATGGCAGTGGGTTTGGGGTTTTTTTTTTTGGATGAAGACTGCCCTCCTGAGGCCGCCTTGTGTTACCATGTTTTATCAGGCTCTTGGGGAGATGAAGTGTGTCATATGCTGGAAATTTTGAAGCAGTTGGATATGAGAAGAGAGTTTGGCACACGAAGGGAAAAGCAAAATCAGATACGTGGAATTTGGGAGAAGAAGTTTAAATAGGTCCGTATTTTCTAGATGAGGAAGCTAAAGCTCAAAGAGGTTAAATAACTTTTTCAGCTACTAACTGGTAGAACGAAACTGGGGAACCAGGTGTGGCCGCTCACAGAAGTCTCTGCTCTTCCCTCTGCTGCACGGTGGTTTCTCACGGGTGATTGTTGTTGTTGGTTGCTCTTGAGTCACCTCCCACTCATGCAGCCCCATTTTCTCTGTCTCAGCCATGTCGCCCAGGCACATGTCAGGTATGTTCACACTCTATGAAAAGAAATCGTGTATCATTTAGCAGTTATTTTCATTTTAAAATCCCGTTCATCAGTTGTATATGGTTTATTCTAAATTATTTTTTCCTTTTTAATTTAGAAAGATTCTAAAATTTCAGGAAAACATAGAGCATAGTAGAGTCAATACCCATATACCCTACACCCTGAATTAACAGATGTTAATCTTTGCCTCAGATCTTTTTTTCTCCAGGTAAAACATTACTGATGAAGTTGAAGTCCGCTTTGTTCTTCCCAGAAGCAACACTGTCGTGAATTTGCTGTGTAGCTTTCTAGTCCAGTTTTTGTTACATAAATTAACACGTTTGTGTGCTTTGAAGATTTACATAAAAGATATTTATACTCATTTTTCTGCAGTTCTGTTTTCACTCTAGTGTGCTTCTGAAGTCTGTTCATGCTGCGATGTATAGTTCTAGTCCATTCATCTTAACAAATGTGAGCCATCCCGGTGTCTGTCTGTGTACACCACAGTGGAGTCATTCTCCTCTCTGTAGACACTGTTTACAGTTTTCTGTGATTGTAGATAATGCCATCTTGGAAATTCTCATATATGTTTCTTGAGATATGTCTAAGATTTTCTCTAGGATATATTCCTAAAAGCAGAACTGATACAACATGGGGTGTGAGAATTTTCAGTTTCAGTACGTTTGCCAGTGACTCTCTAGAGTGGCTGTACGAATTGACCTTCTTACTAGTGGTGAACAGAAGTTCCTGTTTCCTCATAACCTCTAGCCAGTTCTTGATGTTACCAGACTCTTTTTCCCCCAGTCTGATAGATGAAAAGTACTTCCTTACTTTGTCTTTTTTGCCTTTAAAAGCAATGATTTTGCATTTCTTATAACCTTATAAAAGTCTTTAACTCTAGTTTTTAGTGAGAAGTTCCTTTTTATGAAATAAAGAGCTGGGGAGTTGTCCAGGCATAGACCAGTAATTTGAAATTTGCCTGCAAAATTGGAGAATATTGAGGCACCAAAGAAAGAGGCGGGCAACTCCAGTGTGGGGAGCGAAGGAGCCTGTATTAGGGAGATTTACATACCGAGGCAGTGGTCCCTGGCAGCAGCAGGACTAAAGCAGATCTCACACCCAGCAGTAGGGGGTGGAGGTTTTATAGTGGTCAAGGACAAAGGTGGCTCCACACCAGCGAGTTGCATAAGTCTGCCTCAGCAAGGTCACGTACCAGAGGCTTGGAAAACAGCAGTGAACTAACGGAAAGCATCAGGGCAGCCATGTTTGGCCTCGCAAAGTTTGTTTTCCTCTTTGGAGTGGGGAACACTACCGTAATTTACCATTAATTAAATCATGTCTTCTAATTTAACATTTCACTGTTTACTTTGGTTTAAAAGAACTCCATGGTATTTTCTTACTTGAAAGAGTACACTTTACAATACTTCAGAATCAGATCTAGCTTTCATAATTTCGGTACTGGGACCTTTAAATTTTTTCAATTATTAGCCTCACTTAAACCTTTTCTTCTTTAACCAACTGTCTACCTTCAAGGAGAGGAAAGGTTCCAAAGAGATACAGAAAAATACAACTTTTCTGTAAAAATCAGTTGGGAGAAGTGTCATGTGATATACTGTATAACAAATGATGTCAGTTGTAAGGAGTTGTAGAGAAAAGAAGAAATGATCATTTCATTTGGAGTGATATAGAAGGGCTTATTGAAGAGGTGATACTTAGAAGGCACACAGAAGTGTATGTATGAGAATGTTTACAGTTTTTCATAAGGATATGAAGTTTGAAATTATCTAAATATCCAGCAGTACTGAAATGTTCACATAGATTATGGTATACCTATTCTATTTGGTATCTAAAAATGTTTCTGAAAAATAACAACATTGAAAAATGCTTATAATATGCTAAATAAGAAATAATCTAAAACTATATATACCAGGTGATCCCAGTTCTGTGTTTTAAAATGTATATTAAAAAGAATTTGAAGTAAATACATTGAAAATGTTGAGAGATTAGTTTTGGGTAAGTAGAATTTTTTTTCTCTGTATTTTCCAAATTTTCTATAAAAGATACTTTATAAGCAAAATAAGATAAAAAACAGCTCTGGGTTAAGACAGAAATCTTAATTTAGAATTACAGTATCCAGAATGTAAAGCATATTCTGTCATAGGTGGCGTTCTATGCATTGGACCCTAGGTTTTTGTTTTGTCGTTTGCTCGAACAGAGTGACTGTTCTTTCTGAAAGCTCTCAGAGAGACTATGCGAAGAAGCACTGCTGGCCTCTGCTCTCTTTTGTACAGGTTGTTGGGGTGCCGGTGGGGACTACTTTACCTTCAGCCGTGAAGCAGGCTGTGGCCATCAGTGGTGGCCAGATCCTGGTAGCCAAGGCCAGCTCTTCTGTCGCCAAAGCAGTTGGTCCAAAGCAAGTTGTAACCCAAGGAGTTGCCAAAGCCATCGTGAGCGGAGGTGGAGGAACCATTGTTGCTCAGCCGGTGCAGGCCTTAGCCAAGGCGCAGGTCACCGCCGCTGGCCCCCCGAAGAGCGGATCCCAGGGCTCAGGTAACTGGACTCCCTGCGACCCTCTCAGCAGCAGCCCCATCCAGAGTCCTGTGCTGGTGATTTTCTTCGGTATTTGAGGCTGTCTGGGAAGGCCTGGTAGGTTGGGGTTATGAGGAGTAAGTGAGAAAATCTGTTACCCCTTGTCGTATAATATTTTACGTAGGGATCTGTAAATAGAGCGGGTGTTTGCTTTAAGTTTATTTTATTTTTAGCAAGAATAATAAAAATAGAGAGTATTTCTTAATATTGCTTTCAGGTCTGAAGAATAATTTCTCACTTGTCCTCATCCCCATTTTGGGTTGTACTTCAGACTTAGCTGCATCTTGAGTTACCTGATTAACGCCTTCTCTACCAAACAGCGGTTTGAACACCTTGACTGTGTTGTAGTCCCTGATGTGTTGTTACTGTGAGGAAAAAGTTAGCTAAGACATTAGATGTTGACTTCTTTGTGAAGGTCTTGATGAAGCTGAGGGATCGTTGCAGTGGAGGGTACGTGGTTCTGTTGGAAGGATAGAAGGTGGTAGGTGTCCAAACTAAAGCTTTCAGAAGTGACGTCACTGCTGGTGGTGACAAAGTTCAGATTGTAACACTGAGAATGAGTGCTTGAGACAGATGGGACAAGGTGACCTTTGGAGCTTAAAGATCAGCAGCTGGAAAGCCAGAGAATAAAGTGGGTCATTTACAGTGTTGGCACGGAGGGTGTCAGCCGTTAGAGCAGTGCTTTGAGTCAGGAGTCCGTCGTTGGCAAACGAGGGGAAATGACTGGGTGTTGGTAAATGATGGTGACAGGAGAGGGATACCTGGTGAAGCCAGGCGCGAGCCTCAGAGGAGCCTGTGGTGTTTCCCTGAGTAAGAGCACAGAAGAGGCACCTCTCCCATTCCTGGCCCTCAGATAACGAGGTATGTGCGTGTAAGACCAGAAACAGCCCCTAGCTGAGGTGTCCTTGGGGAAGTGGATCTCCAGAGGACTGCCAGATTTACTTACGATAAGAAGAGAGAATGTTCAGGAAGGTTGAGGTTATAGAGGAATAAAATGATCACAGCAGGCGTTCCATGATGAGAGAGATTCAGGGAGAGAGGTTAGACCAGGAATTGTGAGCAGTGTGGACGTGGGAGTCCAGGTGACGGTGGTGGCCAGAGAGGTGGGCACTTGAGTGGCTGAGACTCCAGTGATGTAAGGTAGGATAGCACTGTCCTGGTAATTATGGAGAGGGTGGCAC